ATCATGTTTCTTTGGAGTCCTGCACACAACTTGGGAGGAAGCCGCGAGAAGATAGAACGGGGTGTACCGTGGCATACGGGGACTCTGCAGGGAGCAAGAGGTTCTTGACCTCCTGGCACAAGGATGAGGAGTCTAGCCGACACCGAGCGCTCAAACGAAACAACAAGCCCAGCAACAGCACGGACACGGCAACAACCACTGGGGGAGGGGTGCAGCGGACGGACGAGACGGCGAGGGATGACAGGAAACGCGAAGAGAAGGACCGAGTGGCGCGAAAAAACTGTGCCGGATTGAACCCCTTGATTTACTTATCCCCCCCCCCGTCACTGCACAGTTGCACCAACCCCCCACGAGCGATGACGTGCCTTTGCTGTCTCGGGTGGCCCGTTTTTGTATCGTTTTGTTTGTTTGCTTGTCGCTACGGAGTGGCTCTGGCGTGTGTCTTTCTCTTTCCCTTTTCTCCCTCTGCTCCCTTCTTTTTCTTTTATTTTGCTTTCTTTTTCCAGTCTATGGTTACCTCGCATAGCGTGTGGAGGCGAGCGGAGTGCCCTAGACTATCTGCCGTTGATATATTTGACTTGCGGACCCTTCGGGTCCATTTTATTTTCGTATATATCTACCTCTTTGGGTAAGTTAGCCTCTGTGACCACTGGAATCGACCGCGTCAAGTGTTACAGTAGACTAGTACGGATAGAAGAAGGTACCTGCTGCGTAGAGAGAAAGGAACGAGTTTTAACTTGACTAACAACAAAAAACAACAACAACAATACCAACAACAAGGTCGTTACCATGCTCTCAACCCCGACACAAAGGGAACAGATTCATCCACCACTCACGGCCGTAGTGTGTGTGCCCAACCAACGATGTACAGCAGTAGGCAAACGTAGTTGTGTGCTTGGGGAGGGGATGGGTGTGTAGGAGGAGGAGATGACAGTAGTGCTTCAGTGCCAGGTTTAGCGAACCATTTTCCGCGCTCTACGGCCGTGAGAAACCTTCCACGATAGTTCCCTGTGACGGCGGGAGAACTCTGGTCCTCGGCAGCACAACAGCAGCACCAGCACCAGCAACAGCAGCAGCAACAGCAAACAGGGAAACATGTCGTTCTTCACGAGCGGTTTCGCGACCATGGTGAACAACAGGCGCCTGAAGGCGGCGAAGAAGGCAGGCACGAAAAGTGAGTTGTCGGCCTGTGGTGCATGCATGTCGTCGTGGAGGCTGTTGCCTCTAGCGTTTAGCTGTGCTGCGCGGCCGGCTTCACGCGCACGTCGAGGCAAGAACAGGCCGCTGGTTCTCCCCAACAGCTCACGCTCACCTTCTTTGTGTCTTCTCCTCTTCCTCTCCCATCATGCCTGCACAGACGCAGACAAGAACGTGGAGAGCTCTGATAAGGAGGAAAAGAACGACTGTGGCAAGGAGGAAGAGAAAGACGAGGGAAAGTGGGACATGCTCACAGACGTTTACGGCCGGGCATACTGGTGAGAGAGATTCCAGAAGCACGGCAGTCTACCGTCCATGTCTACATGTAGACTTACAACGGAGGCTACACATGTTAGAAAACCGTTTTGGATATTACATTGCTCGTGTGCAGGCGAGGAAGATCCACACATACCACAATTCATGTAGATACACCGTATAGAGGAATGGATCGTTGGACGCGTCTCACATGGATTGGATGGCTGCTTTGTTTTTCGCCACCGCCGTTGTACAGTGTACGTGTACAGTAGTACTCAACGTTGTAACACGTGTGCTTCCACTTGTTTGCCTTCCTTTTCAAGCCCGAGCTTGTTCTAATCCCCACTAGTGTACAGTATGCACACGTCACTTACTTCATCTCATCAGCGTGAGATGGCAACAATCAGATTCCATGTCCAAACGTCCCGAACTCGTACGCTCTCAGGCATAGTCTAGACTTGCAGTCTACATCAATTCATATGTTCAGAGAGCATACAGCAGCTTTGTCCAGACGTCTTGCCTCTTCTCACACTCGCTCGCATCCAGCAATCAACACCATTTTCCCTGAAACTCGCATTGCATATTCTCCGAAATCCAACAACAACCAACAGGCAGCACAACGTGACGGGCGAGTGGGCCTACGTCTACGGTGGCGGCCTCAGCGCCCCTCCCGTTGTGGCGGTCAGTCCTACACCCATGGCCTGTCCCCACGGCGTGGTCTTCACGCCTCCGCCTGTCTACGCCGCCGCCCCCAACCCGCCCCTCCCCACCAAGAAGAAGGACGACGACAAACAGGACGAGAAGAAGGAGAAGGGCAAGGGGTGGTGGGAGACGAAGTACGACGAGGACGGGGACCGGTACTGGGAGCACACGGTGACCAAGAAGACCACCTACAAGGACCCCTACTACTGAAACAGCTGGAACTGAATTGATTCGTACGAGTAGAAAGCAGTAGCACAGGCCTAGTACCAGTAGTTGTGGTACAGAAGAAGTAATATACTACTGGCATAACGTAGTTTTGACAAACTGTCGATAAATCAATGTGCAGTATATGGTAGTCTAGGCTTCGTAGGTTAGCGGTTGCTTCTGTTTTTGGTATACGGCAGCCGTGGCGGCATTCAATCAGCCCTGCTGCAGTGGGTCATCTGTGGTGGTTTGTTGTTGTATGCATGTAGGTGCCGTGTCTCCCGTCATGACGGTACAGCTGCGTTTGGGACTGAGACGGGAGAATTCCATTGTGTTTCCTGCCATGCACAAGTAAGCACGATGTCATAGTTTGGTTTGAGTTTATGTCGTTTTCGTTGAGAGTATAGAAACGTTGCCTTTTCACACATGGACCAAATCTCCTCCTGTATATGTATTTCCCTTAATGTTTTCTTCTCTTGAGAATAATGTGGTGATAGTGGTGGATGCGATATCTATCTGTGGAGGGGCGGTGTCGCCAAATATTTGCAACGTTCATGTGCATGTGACTGGGGCTAGTTGTTTATGTAGTGTTTGCCTTACCTTGCCGCGGTGCACGTTGCAGCATTGGTTGGAGGGGAAGGGGAGCATGTGCGGGCTTGGTGAAGGCATTGCGGCCGATCCTTAGCTTAGTCGAGTATGCATTTGGCGTACGAACCAGATCGACACACGAAAAGCCCGGTCGCTCAGCTAGTGTTTAGGCGTTGGGGTTAGAGGCGATGGGAGGCTTGGGGCTTGGATGGCCGGTGTCGCCAAATTGGTATCACAAACGGCCTTGGTTGGCCTGCCCGCTTGGCGTCATTTGGTTCGCGTCTTGGTTGTATTAGCCGTTTTGAAACAAGTAATGGCGCCAACAAGGCGTACGTGTGTGTATGGAGGAAGGTAGGGTCGTTGTGCACGTAGATGCTTTGCTGGGCTCTGCGATCGTGAAACACGTTTAGAGTCGTACTCGTTGTTGTTGATGATGAAAGAAACAGAACACCAACCCGTGTATGGTACGCTGTCCATGAAGCTTGCTCGATATGGGGCGGTCTCTCTTCTTTACGATTGATACTATACTGCTCTATTCACTCCGCCACCATTGCGTAGATCACGGCGGTATGTGGATGAACGTTGACGTATGTAGTTGTAGAGATATAACTGGCCTTTGAGTAGTTTCGATCGGGAATGACGAGACCTGAACGAAACGGCCTGTCGACGACGAGGTGTATTTTGTGACGAAATGGAACTGAACTGAAATCGGTTCAACATGGTGCGTGTTCAATATACACGGAATAATACGTGTACTCCACAACATTGAGCGCAGGCACAACCAGTCGTTTCACGCGGTGCTTTCCTCAGGCTTCAACTACTGTACAATACACGCTCATCATGATTTTCTCTCTGATGAGCGACGAACTTGAGCGGTAATGCCTGCCATGGTTTTGTGCGCCGCAGGTCCTGATCTCGGGCAGACCGGTCGACTTTCTTTCTCGTCGAAGAGAGAGGGGCAGCGGGCAAGCAATGTATGAATAGACTTTTATGAAGCAATTGGGGTCTCGACGACACACCACACACAGACAGCCTGAAGTGCACTGTCGCTCGCTTATGGCTCTTTCTACGACTGGTCAAGGCCAAAAAGCATTGCCAAGCACACGCGACTACTACTACATAATGTTGAGTGTGGAGTCGGCGACCGAAGACATGACGCTCGAGGATGACTAATAGTCTAGGAGGCGCGCCGCAGGAAAGGAAGAGGCACATGTATCCTCGTGCGTGTTGACCTCCACTTGTTCAGGTCTTTTGCAAAAGATTGCTTCCGCCCAAGCATGGGTCTTGAAACTGCCACCACCTATATGTAAAATGCGATCGATGTCCATCCGGGCGGTTGAGCTACCGGACGGAGTACTGGTCCCGGAAATACATGCATGCTTGGTCGGACATGCAAGGGCGCTCGACTGGATTGCTGTAGCCCGTGTCTCTGCGTCCGGCCGCTGGTATTGGACAACTGCTTTCTTCGCGCTCACACTTCATCCTTCGGAGTGTCGCCAGGCTCGTCGAGCTAACTGCTTTATTTTATGGCTGTAGTGTGTGTGCCCAACCAACGATGTTACAGCAGTAGGTATACGCATTCGTGTGCATGGAGAGGGGATGGGTGTGTAGGAGGAGTATAGACAGCGGTGCTCCAGTGCCAGGTTTAGCGAACCATTTTCCGCGCTCTACGGCCGTGAGAAACCTTCCACGATAGTTCCCTGTGACGGCGGGAGAACTCTGGTCCTCGGGTCGTTGTTCGTTTTCAGAACCTTTTTGGCAGAACCTTTCTGCAGAACCTCCTTTGCCAGCCAACAAAAGCCTCCGCCGAGCTCTGCTTCGACGAATTCGTGATCTGATTCAAACCACAGCAGCCGCGTGGGACAGAGCCACACACACCCACACCACACACAGCCACACAACTGCCCTCTCCATCCCTCTCTCGAGCCCCAACAAACCCTCAACAGGACCCTCCGAAGCAAGCAGCAAAAGACTTCTCACATATCCGTTAACAGCACAACAGCAGCACCAGCACCAGCAGCACCAGCAACCGCAGCAACAGCACACAGGGAAACATGTCGTTCTTCACGAGCGGTTTCGCGACCATGGTGAACAACAGGCGCCTGAAGGCGGCGAAGAAGGCAGGCACGAAAAGTGAGTTGTCGGCCTGTGGTGCATGCATGTCGTCGTGGAGGCTGTTGCCTCTAGCGTTTAGCTGTGCTGCTGCGGCCGGCTTCACACGCACGTCGAAGCAAGAACAGGCCGCTGGTTCTCCCCAACAGCTCACGCTCACCTTCTTTGTGTCTTCTCCTCTTCCTCTCCCATCATGCCTGCACAGACGCAGACAAGAACGTGGAGAGCTCTGATAACGAGGAAAAGAACGACTGTGGCAAGGAGGAAGAGAAAGACGAGGGAAAGTGGGACATGCTCACAGACGTTTACGGCCGGGCATACTGGTGAGAGGGATTCCAGAAGCACGGCAGTCTACCGTTCATGTCTACATGTAGACTTCTGCGTACAACGGAGGCTACACATGTTAGAAAACCGTTTTGGATATTAGCTACATTGCTCGTGTGCAGGCGAGGAAGATCCACACATTCATACCACAATTCATGTAGATACACCGTATAGACAAATGGATCGTTGAACGCGTCTCACATGGATTGGATGGCTGCTTTGTTTTTCGCCACCGCCGTTGTACAGTGTACGTGTACAGTAGTACTCAACGTTGTAACACGTGTGCTTCCACTTGCTTCCCTTCCTTTTCAAGCCCGAGCTTGTTCTAATCCCCACTAGTGTACAGTATGCACACGTCACTTACTTCATCTCATCAGCGTGAGATGGCAACAATCAGATTCCTTGTCCTACCGTCCCGAACTCGTACACGTTCTAGACTAAATGCAGTCTACATACAAATCATGTGTGCAGAGAGCGTACAGCAGCTTTGTCCAGACGTCTTGCCTCTTCTCACACTCGCTCGCATCCAGCAATCAACACCATTTTCCCTGAAACTCGCATTGCATATTCTCCGAAATCCAACAACAACCAACAGGCAGCACAACGTGACGGGCGAGTGGGCCTACGTCTACGGTGGCGGCCTCAGCGCCCCTCCCGTTGTGGCGGTCAGTCCTACACCCATGGCCTGTCCCCACGGCGTGGTCTTCACGCCTCCGCCTGTCTACGCCGCCGCCCCCAACCCGCCCCTCCCCACCAAGAAGAAGGACGACGACAAACAGGACGAGAAGAAGGAGAAGGGCAAGGGGTGGTGGGAGACGAAGTACGACGAGGACGGGGACCGGTACTGGGAGCACACGGTGACCAAGAAGACCACCTACAAGGACCCCTACTACTGAAACAGCTGGAACTGAATTGATTCGTACGAGTAGAAAGCAGTAGCACAGGCCTAGTACCAGTAGTTGTGGTACAGAAGAAGTAATATACTACTGGCATAACGTAGTTTTTGACAAACTGTCGATAAATCAATGTGGAGTATATGGTAGTCTAGGCTTCGTAGGTTGGCGGTTGCTTCTGTTTTTGGTATACGGCAGCCGTGGCGGCATTCAATCAGCCCTGCTGCAGTGGGTCATCTGTGGTGATTTGTTGTTGTATGTATGTAGGTGCCGTGTCTCCCGTCATGACGGTACAGCTGCGTTTGGGACTGAGACGGGAGAATTCCATTGTGTTTCCTGCCATGCACAAGTAAGCACGATGTCATAGTTTGGTTTGAGTTTATGTCGTTTTCGTTGAGAGTATAGAAACGTTGCCTTTCACACATGGACCAAATCTCCTCCTGTATATGTATTTCCCTTAATGTTTTCTTCTCTTGAGAATAATGTGGTGATAGTGGTGGATGCGATATCTATCTGTGGAGGGGCGGTGTCGCCAAATATTTGCAACGTTCATGTGCATGTGACTGGGGCTAGTTGTTTATGTAGTGTTTGCCTTACCTTGCCGCGGTGCACGTTGCAGCATTGGTTGGAGGGGAAGGGGAGCATGTGCGGGCTTGGTGAAGGCATTGCGGCCGGTCCTTAGCTTAGTCGAGCATGCATTTGGCGTACGAACCAGATCGACACACGAAAAGCCCGGTCGCTCAGCTAGTGTTTAGGCGTTGGGGTTAGAGGCGATGGGAGGCTTGGGGCTTGGATGGCCGGTGTCGCCAAATTGGTATCACAAACGGCCTTGGTTGGCCTGCCCCCTTGGCGTCATTTGGTTCGCGTCTTGGTTGTATTAGCCGTTTTGAAACAAGTAATGGCGCCAACAAGGCGTACGTGTGTGTATGGAGGAAGGTAGGGTCGTTGTGCAGGTAGATGCTTTGCTGGGCTCTGCGATCGTGAAAACACGTTTAGAGTCGAACTCGTTGTTGTTGATGATGAAAGAAACAGAACACCAACCCGTGTATGGTACGCTGTCCATGAAGCTTGCTCGATATGGGGCGGTCTCTCTTCTTTACGATTGATACTATACTGCTCTATTCACTCCGCCACCATTGCGTAGATCACGGCGGTATGTGGATGAACGTTGACGTATGTAGTTGTAGAGATATAACTGGCCTTTGAGTAGTTTCGATCGGGAATGACGAGACCTGAACGAAACGGCCTGTCGACGACGAGGTGTATTTTGTGACGAAATGGAACTGAACTGAAATCGGTTCAACATGGTGCGTGTTCAATATACACGGAATAATACGTGTACTCCACAACATTGAGCGCAGGCACAACCAGTCGTTTCACGCGGTGCTTTCCTCAGGCTTCAACTACTGTACAATACACGCTCATCATGATTTTCTCTCTGATGAGCGACGAACTTGAGCGGTAATGCCTGCCATGGTTTTGTGCGCCGCAGGTCCTGATCTCGGGCAGACCGGTCGACTTTCTTTCTCGTCGAAGAGAGAGGGGCAGCGGGCAAGCAATGTATGAATAGACTTTTATGAAGCAATTGGGGTCTCGACGACACACCACACACAGACAGCCTGAAGTGCACTGTCGCTCGCTTATGGCTCTTTCTACGACTGGTCAAGGCCAAAAAGCATTGCCAAGCACACGCGACTACTACTACATAATGTTGAGTGTGGAGTCGGCGACCGAAGACATGACGCTCGAGGATGACTAATAGTCTAGGAGGCGCGCCGCAGGAAAGGAAGAGGCACATGTATCCTCGTGCGTGTTGACCTCCACTTGTTCAGGTCTTGAGCAAAAGATTGCTTCCGCCCAAGCATGGATCTTGAAACTGCCACCACCCATATGTAAAATGCGATCGATGTCCATCCGGGCGGTTGAGCTACCGGACGGAGTACTGGTCCCGGAAATACATGCATGCTTGGTCGGACATGCAAGGGCGCTCGACTGGATTGCTGTAGCCCGTGTCTCTGCGTCCGGCCGCTGGTATTGGACAACTGCTTTCTTCGCGCTCACACTTCATCCTTCGGAGTGTCGCCAGGCTCGTCGAGCTAACTGCTTTATTTTATGGCTGTAGTGTGTGTGCCCAACCAACGATGTTACAGCAGTAGGCATACGCATTCGTGTGCATGGAGAGGGGATGGGTGTGTAGGAGGAGTATAGACAGCGGTGCTCCAGTGCCAGGTTTAACGAACCATTTTCCGCGCTCTACGGCCGTGAGAAACCTTCCACGATAGTTCCCTGTGACGGCGGGAGAACTCTGGTCCTCGGGTCGTTGTTCGTTTTCAGAACCTTTTTGGCAGAACCTTTCTGCAGAACCTCCTTTGCCAGCCAACAAAAGCCTCCGCCGAGCTCTGCTTCGACGAATTCGTGATCTGATTCAAACCACAGCAGCCGCGTGGGACAGAGCCACACACACCCACACCACACACAGCCACACAACTGCCCTCTCCATCCCTCTCTCGAGCCCCAACAAACCCTCAACAGGACCCTCCGAAGCAAGCAGCAAAAGACTTCTCACATATCCGCGAACGGCACAACAGCAGCACCAGCACCAGCAGCACCAGTAACCGCAGCAACAGCAAACAGGGAAACATGTCGTTCTTCACGAGCGGTTTCGCGACCATGGTGAACAACAGGCGCCTGAAGGCGGCGAAGAAGGCAGGCACGAAAAGTGAGTTGTCGGCCTGTGGTGCATGCATGTCGTCGTGGAGGCTGTTGCCTCTCTAGCGTTTAGCTGTGCTGCTGCGGCCGGCTTCACGCGCACGTCGAGGCAAGAACAGGCCGCTGGTTCTCCCCAACAGCTCACGCTCACCTTCTTTGTGTCTTCTCCTCTTCCTCTCCCATCATGCCTGCACAGACGCAGACAAGAACGTGGAGAGCTCTGATAACGAGGAAAAGAACGACTGTGGCAAGGAGGAAGAGAAAGACGAGGGAAAGTGGGACATGCTCACAGACGTTTACGGCCGGGCATACTGGTGAGAGAGATTCCAGAAGCACGGCAGTCTACCGTTCATGTCTACATGTAGACTTACAACGGAGGCTACACATGTTAGAAAACCGTTTTGGATATTAGCTACATTGCTCGTGTGCAGGCGAGGAAGATCCACACATACCACAATTCATGTAGATACACCGTATAGAGAAATGGATCGTTGGACGCGTCTCACATGGATTGGATGGCTGCTTTTTTTTTCGCCACCGCCTTTGTACAGTGTACGTGTACAGTAGTACTCAACGTTGTAACACGTGTGCTTCCACTTGTTTGCCTTCCTTTTCAAGCCCGAGCTTGTTCTAATCCCCACTAGTGTACAGTATGCACACGTCACTTACTTCATCTCATCAGCGTGAGATGGCAACAATCAGATTCCTTGTCCTAACGTCCCGAACTCGTACGCTCTCAGGCATAGTCTAGACTTGCAGTCTACATCAATTCATATGTTCAGAGAGCATACAGCAGCTTTGTCCAGACGTCTTGCCTCTTCTCACACTCGCTCGCATCCAGCAATCAACACCATTTCCTCTGAAACTCGCATTGCATATTCTCCGAAATCCAACAACAACCAACAGGCAGCACAACGTGACGGGCGAGTGGGCCTACGTCTACGGTGGCGGCCTCAGCGCCCCTCCCGTTGTGGCGGTCGGCCCTACACCCATGGCCTGTCCCCACGGCGTGGTCTTCACGCCTCCGCCTGTCTACGCCGCCGCCCCCAACCCGCCCCTCCCCACCAAGAAGAAGGACGACGACAAACAGGACGAGAAGAAGGAGAAGGGCAAGGGGTGGTGGGAGACGAAGTACGACGAGGACGGGGACCGGTACTGGGAGCACACGGTGACCAAGAAGACCACCTACAGGGACCCCTACTACTGAAACAGCTGGAACTAAGTTGATTCGTACGAGTAGAAAGCCGTAATACACTAGCAGTACTAGCGGTGCTGGATGTTACTGGCATCACTATTCGATCTTGACAAACTGCCAATCAATGTGTATATGATAGTCTAGACTTTGTAGGTTGACTGTTTTTGTATGTTATAAGGCAGCCGTGGCGGCATTCAATCAGCGCTGCTGCAATTTAGTTGGAAAGAAATGCTGTATTTAATTTGAGTATACCTATTCGTGTTTCCTTGCATGTTTCATTCTATTGAGAAATGTGTCGGTAGTGTCGTGCCATACGTTACTCTGTCTCTGTGGGGACGGTGTCGCCTAATATTGCAACGCAAATGTGCGTATGACGGGGGGTAGTTGTTGATCTAGTATTTGCCTTACTTTGCCGAAGCACAGTTCACCGTTGGTTGGAGAGCGGGGGCGGGAGGTATGTGCGGTCTTGGTGAAGGAATTGTGGCCGGTCGTAGCTCGGTCGAGTTTACATTTAAAGCACAAATTATCTCGAGTAACATCCGTTGCTTGATCGTATCTAGAGTGACGAAGGTGGTGGCGTTGCTTGCTGTCTCCCCACAAGCTCTCGTGTTGTTCGTCATTCATCACTTCCTAGTGTTGCGTGCTGTTTTTCTGTCTTGTTCTTGTGTTGGAGTCGGTGTAAATACAAGTGAGGGGGTAACATTGTACGTAGTCCGTGTCTTGATGTACGTACAATTTCACAGGGGCGCGATAATTAAACGTCTATGCTACATACTGTATTGGTTGATGGTTTGGCGTACGAACCAGACTGAGATAGCACCAGTTCCAGCGTAGCATGTGGTTGGAGGCGGTGATGCCCACGGCGGTGTGGATTGTCGGCGTCGCTGATGTGATATCACAAACGGCCGTGGTTGGCCCTCCCCTCTAGTGTCATTTGTTTCGTGTCTTGGTCGTACTAGCCATTTTGAGAGAAAAAGTAGCCAACGATTGTTTGATTGTTTCTGGCGTGTGTATGTGTAACGGAGGCAGCATCGTTGAGCCGATAGATGTTTCGCTGGGCTATGTCATCGTGAAACTGTTTTTTGGCGTTAACGATTGCTATTGATGATGAAAAAACAAAAATGGTGTTGGCTAACGAAGCGGTATATGGCACGGTAACCATGAAGTTTGGTTGATAAGAGGCGGTCTCTCTTCTTTACGATTGATACTGCTGCTGTATGCACATCGCCACCATGTGGTAGATCACGGCGGTAGTGTGGACGTACGTTGACGTAGCCCACGTGGTAGAGATAAAACTTGCCATTGTTGGGTAGTTTTATTGATACGTTCGTTCGGGAAGGATGAGACCTGGACGAACTTGCCTACGACGAGGCGTTTGTTGCGAAAACAATCGAACGAAATCAAAATCGGCTCAACATGATTCGTGTTCGTTGCACGTAATACGCACTCAACAACATTGAGCGCAGGCACAGCCAGCCACTTCACGCGGCGTTTTCCCCATGCTTTAACTATACAGTTAGACACTTTGTAGACGTTTCTCGTTTGGCAATATTGCACTTTGTAGACCCCGAAATTGGGCAATGGCCCCCAACGGGCGTAGTACATGCTGTACTCGCATCGGTCGTCGTCGGCAGAAGCCGAACGAGGCGGAGGCTACAGCAATGTGTCGCGCACCCACGCCAAAATGCACAAGAAGAGGGGCAGAGGGAAATCTTGGTTCATAATTAAATGCGCACGGTGTCGTGGCAGCGCTATCCGTATTGTGTTTGGGGGCGTCAGCATGCCTCCAGCAAGGAGTGCAGCAAGCAGGTCTGTTTAGATGCTTTCCAAGAAACGAGAGAGAATGCACCACGACACTCTTTCAATCTTTGCCAACATCCCTCCAAATGTGTTATTCCTACTATACAGTCAGGTCTTGCCTGTCGCTCGCACGAGTTGTACCAATACCTCATTCTCCATAATCCTTTTCCGAACTACACAGGTGCTTCCCCGGAAATGTTGGTGCACAGCTCATTATTTCGAACAGCTTCAAACATTTCCAGAATCTCGTTCAACATGGTACCTAAGCTCAAAGAGCAAATTGGGACAAATATCAAAACCTCATTCAGTAGGAACATCCCCTGCGTACGGGGGGTTCGCCAACGTACGTCTGTCCCATAGAGCCATCATGTATGCGATTCATGTTTTCTCCCTGAATCAGTGATGTTGCGTCAACTGCCAAACAGACCCATTTTGTTCTCAAATAACGACACAAACAACAGCAGAGAAGTTTGAATCTTGGCCGGTACCTCATGTAGGTCCAAAAAAAGGCTAGGAACAAATCCGTCGAAAATGAACCAAGTCGTACCCGATGTGCATTAATTTACATATACCCCAGGAACACAAAATGTACGTCAGAGGGGCTCGTGTACAAGACTTGCGCCCTAGCGTCCTGTGGGCGCAATGCGGTGTAATCAACAGTTGGATGTGAGCATACCATACGATTTCGGCTCAATCCCGACAGAGGGTAGAGCAAAAGTTCTCGGTGGCCAAGCAAAGGAAAGAGTAGCCGTTGGGAGAGAGATCGTTCAACCGACGGTCAGAAGACCACGCCGCCACACTGTCGTCACTCAGCAGACCCGAGCATTCAAGTACTTCGCATCTCTCTAGAAACTCCAATACTTACAGGAACGAAAGAACCCCATCATCATCATCGGCGTCAATTTTCGTATCCTCGTCACAGAAATGTGAGGGACACGTCGCCACCCCGACCATACGCTTGACTCACAAACTCACGTACTGGTCAACGTTCCGTCTCCTGACCCAAGCCCACTCTACCCCTCGCCCGCCCCTGTCCACGAGCTGCATGGTCTTGTCGAAGCTAGGGACAGGAGATTTGCCCTTTTGCGTTTCATCAACATCAAAACTCCGGATTACCTCCTTCAGCTGGTCGTAGGCAAACCCTTGCACAGGGGTAGGCCTCCTCATCTGAATATCGGGTGCGACGTAACGTATCACGGCGTTTTTGTTTTACCACGAGTGGCTTGAGAGCTAGGACGCGCTTCAATAGAAAACGCGTGGTATTTCGTGCGTTGGGGGCGCCGTTGCCCACGGTTTTGGGTTCGACACAGATGGGCGACATGACGTCACCTGCCTAAATAGCATCTTCCGACCAACAAAAACCAGACACGGTAAGATGAGACCATCGGAGTACGGGATGCGCCACGACCAGTTTTGAGAGGATTGCCGACAGCCTCAAAACGAAAGCGCCAAAAAATGGCTTCACCTTTTCTCTTTCAAGCCTGCACGCGCCAGCATGGTGGACCCTTTCCGCCGGGCTACCGTCTTCTAGTCTCTCTCCGGCGACCGTCGCCATCGCCTCGACGCTCGACGTTAGCGCTTCTTCGACGAACTCAGACAAGACGCCGCCGGCGTTTGTCCCAAGCACGGCCTCGATGTCGGCAGCAGGCATCGCCAAGCCGGTGCAAACCTTGACCGCGATTGAAGCCAGGGCCAACCCCAATTCCGCCAACGGTTTTGCTTTCTTCGCCCAGCTCAACAACTCCGTCACCTGCCAACGACATATATAGGGTGAAACGTGAGCATCTGTTGCGATTCGAAGAATGAGATGGCTGTTTCCTGCAACCTTTTGACGTTAGAATTTACGAACCATTTCGAGCTTGCATCTGCCCCAAAAGCCCGCGAATCCCTACCGGCCCGTCGTACGACGATACGGAGCAAGCTCGGGGGAAATAATGAAGATGTTCCAGAAAAGGAGACCTCAACGATCAACCCTCCCCGTTGCACAACTCACCTGGTATCCTTGCCCGTCAGGGCCGCACTCGGCAAGGCTCATATCCAACGGGCAGAGGAAGAACAAGCGCAGCTTTTGCGTCGCAACCCCCCTACCCATTTTATTTCCTTCGGAGCACCTCTTCTGCAGGACAGTCGACCACTCCTCAAAAGATCTGTCTCTCTCATCGAGAGGTTTCGCCCCGCTTTCGCGAGCTGGGAGCACGCACATCAAGCTGGGGATCGGCCACCTGCGCATTCCAAGCAAAGTATCCAAGGAAAGTGATTATTTGGGTGACAGCAGTGCTGCAGACGATTCACCCCCTCCAACGAGGAACCGTTCGTGAAGCATGGATGTGGTTGGTGCGTAGGCGGGGTGGTGGTTTACAGGTAGGAAGCGACTGCTGGGTACTGAGTTTCTCAAGCTCTTGAAAGTACATTTAAGCAGCCAAACGCTTACAGTAGGAATGCCACGTTCCGCGCCAAGCTGTTCAGGATCCCCCTCTCCGTCTCGTTCAGACCACCTTTCGGAACAGCTGTAGTCGAAAGGCTCGCCCGGACCACCTGTTCCACGCGGGCCACAACCTCATGCACCTTCGCGTCTAGCTGAAAGTTGGCGTCGCGCTGACAGTCTAGGCATAGGCTGTTAAGCCGCCTGGCAACAGCCTCGTTAACGCTTAAGCTTTGTCCTTTGAAAGCCTCCAGGAATTCGCTGAGCACACTCTCCAGGCGTTGGTCGAGCTGCACGGCACCGAGAATAATACAGTGGGTAAGTTCCGTTCCAAATACGCTCTGAGTTGCTCCCAAAACCCGACAAACGAACACAGAAGAGACCTGCAACATGTATAAAACACGACAACGAGTATGTCCCACAAGGCCAACCATCTATGCTGAAAAAACAAGAACCCCGTAGAAATCTCCATCGCATACGCCACGCCTAAACAGTGCAACTAGAACGGAAGCAAGTGTCGACAAAATACAACACGACGGACGACATCCAGGCCAACGCCCAATTTGAATCAAAACCGACGCAGGACCAACGCGCCATTACCTTGTCGAACAAGTCCTTTTGAAGTGCTTCCAAGCTATCTTGCCAAGCTTCCGTCCCGTTCTCGAACCTGGGGTGAGCCGACGAGTCGAACGCCAGTCCCGGGTACGCCTCTCGTAAAAGATCCTTCACATTTTTTTTTATTTCGAACCCGACCTTGAACACGTCGTTTACGTCAGGGCCAGCGATGTTTATCTCGATCATGGGCAGAGGCCTGGCAGAAACCTCACCCACTCGTACGAGGCACTCCCGTCCGTCCGCCACAAAGGCCACCCCTCGAGCCCAGCAGGTGCGGAACATCAAGTTTCGGAAGACTCCACTCTCATCCCGGCCGAATCCGCCCAGGAACTTCGCGATGATCGCCGGCGGAACGTACTTGGCGTAGATTTCGATCACGAACTGCATGCGCGTGCCCCGGGACATCGCGTCCTCTAGTTTAGCGAAGGAGTCACCAGTGACGCCGTCCGGAAGCCGAGCGGGAACCATGAACTCTCTGACGTTACCTTCGGTGACGCCGTCATTGCACGGGAACATGGCGTCGTGCGCAGTCATCGTCTCGACCAGACGGGCAAAGACCTTCTCGTCGACGCCCTTCAGGACGTCCCGCCACAGGAAACGAAGGAACTCCTCCGTCAGAATACCCGTGGTGGTAAAGTGTCTGAATAGGGATTGAGCGCCCGGAAAGACAATGATGTACCTTGGTCATAAGGAAATTGATGAGCTCTACATGTAATCACACTAAGCTGTTGAATGTCCTGTATCCAGCACATCAGGTACCCCGTGACTACGGTGGTGCACTATTCAAAGCGTGCTTGTAAAACATCTGTGCAAAGCGGGCTGTTCAACATAAGAGCGATCGAAAATACCACATCGACCACTAAATATTACCTGTGGGTCTCCAAAAGTTCGTTGATTGGAATGCCGCGGTTTCGCTCGTATGCCTTCAGCTGCTTCCACCACCACTCGTCCTGGCGATTCCAACGATAACGGAATTGACAGGTTGTTGCCTACTAAGTCATTTCTCTCTCTTGGGTTCAAACCCTCGTCCCCCTATGCTGGGCGAACGAAAGATTTCCCGGTGGCGTATGTTGAGCACCCAATCTTTAGTCAATGCAAACTCCCCCGGGGGTCCTGTGCTCTGTATCGCCTTCCGCGGGGTGTATCCCATTAACATACCCCGGGCGAAACATTTTGAGTGTTCAATGCCCAGCACATTTGATAAAGCAGGGTTTCGACGCCACAAAGATAGGGCCACGCCGGATTTCAACACCAGTTTTCAGAAACTGAAACATAGCTCACCTCGTTCGGATCTGTCAAGCGGTGGTCCAACACCTCTCGCAGCAGAACGTTGATCCACGACGGGTTCAGGTGAATTAGGCCGCACACCGCCAGTACAGATCCGCCCATATGACGGAGGTTGAGCGCCGCCTAACAAAATGTTCAAACCAATATCACGGAGAGGGCAAAGAGGAACACATACGTTGTTTACTTGTACATTCATATGCGTCCGAAAGATTTGCGTTGAAGAACGATTGGCCCGTTGGGGGGAACGTTGCTCACCCCCAGCTCGGTGTAATGTCACCGCCCCTCCATTGACAGCTTATCACGCTGCAGCACCACACGATGTCCCGAGGCGTTGCACTGACGCAGCCACTGGGCTGCTCCTACGAAGAAAAATCAAGTGGCAGTTGGCGTGGGCTGGCCACAGAGGGAGCTACAAGAAACAGCCCGATCCGTGGCGGAACCTCGAGACCGCGTCCGTCCCAAGCTAATAGGCGGCGGTGATCCTAAAACGCTAAACTTACTTGAGCAAACAAGCAACTTCCATGAAAGCTGAACACCAGCAGCCAAGAAAAAGACACGCCCATCCACCTCACGCGGACCAAAACTGGAAAATCAAACGCATCCCCCAGGTGACAGGTTTGCTTACACTTTGAAGCGCGCCAAACAGATGTATCTGAACCTAAACTCAGAAGTACTGCTTCAGCAGACAAGGAGTTTGATATTATCAGGAAACACTACCTTACCTTGAAGTGCCGGGAGGAGACCAGACGAAGCTGCTCGCCGAAGTGCCCAGCGGCCTCCAACTGTGTCGCCGACTCACGATCCGCGTGCGACCACACCTCAAAGGCTTGTTCCTCGGTCACAAATTCGTGCTTGTCGCGCCCTTCGATCGTAACGACAGGGCCCTCCAGCCGCACCGCCGAATCTGGATCTGCCCCAACATGAAGGGCGTCCATGACGGCCCATACCCTCCTCCATATTCCCGGAACAATCTTGCGGACGCTAGGAAACACGGCGGGCTCGTTGGCTACCTCCCAGATCTTTTCCCCGACAGTCGATAAGCCGTCCAAGCTGCGGCCGGACACCGAAATGAAACCGCATAGGTGGAGTGAGGGCGGTGCCGGTTTTGAGCGATCTGCCGGAGACTCGGACATAAAATCGCGTCCCGTGGAGGCGGGCCGGGCTTGTGACATAAGTTCGCGCTCTTCTAGTCGCTTGGCGGCCAGCCAATCCTGCAACAAGATTGGTCGGATAAAGGAAAGCGGAGCTGAATGGTTCGTACAATAGTTTAGCAACCAAGAAAATGCAATCAATTTGTAGCACAAACAGGCGTTCTGGGCATGGTCGAACATTTACACTTATTGTTGGTGTTTAGATTATGCCAACGCAGCCATCAAAGTTTGAGACGCGCACCTGCCGTTTCGTTTCCAGGTGCTCCGTGACCGCTGCCTTAAGGGCTTCGAGAGCTCCGGCTGACCGCTCGTGATCATCACCAAAGGCGTCCGCATGTGTTGCTACGACGAGAACGGCACTCCCGGGGACCCGGCAGAGTAGTGAGTCCAGCCAAATGTAGACCCCCCCCCCCCGCGAGAGGACGTCTCGGTCGAACTTGTGGAGGTCTACTACGAGAAGGTGCAGCGCTCCGTCGGTTAGAAACATCTGTCAAGGAACAACGGAGGAGAGATATCAGATGCATCGGGGATGGTGTATTCAAACAAAACGCGTGCAGCACACACACGGAGGTGCACGGACAGCCGACAAGAAAACTCCAAAAACCGGGCGACGGCATCGGACAGAGGATTGTTCGTTTACAGTACCTAAATCTCGGGTTGCCCAAGGTCCACCTTACTTACTGACCTGGTGGGTAGAATGGTAGTCATCATGCCCGGCGAAATCCCAGATCAAAACCTCAAGCGGCGGGTCGAAGTCTGGTACCCACGGTTGGATATGCACGTCAATGCCGCGAGTTCTGGGAGGAAGCGTTTGTGCGATTTTTCCGTCCAGCAAACCCCGCGCCAGCGTGGTCTTGCCGGCACCCACCGCGCCCACAAGCACAACCTTCAGACTCGGCACGACTTGGCCTCCGGACTGAGATAATCCTTCGTGGAAGCTGACGACCTGATCCCAGCCACCTTGGATGACGTTCCACGGAGGTGTCTCCCACGGGTTACCTTTAAGGTCGACGCTGAGCTCGGGCATTGCTTTCAATCTTTCCGCCGTAGCTCCAGGAATATCTTTCAGAGGGCGGTTACAGAACCAGGGATTGGCGGAAGGGTGCGTCACATACTATAAACAATGTTGATCACATGCGGAGCGAAATGGAATACAACTCATACACCCAGTACCGTAGGAAAATGCCTTGTACAGTTAAATAGCGAATTTCGTAAGAAATTTAGAAGTAAGGACATCTTCTACATTTAGAAAGACCTAACGTTTGGGAGACCATTTTTGTTGAGACCAAGCCGTCTTCGGGGTTGCACGGCAAAGATAGCAGGGGCAACACCACGAAAAATTAGAACAGCTCGCGTAGTAACAATTTGCCCGACACGGTGCTCTGCACCACGTTATCGACGCCATGCTCTCGTCATATGAGTAGTACTGGTCACAATTCAACTGTGTGGGGGTGGTCAGGGAACCTTACTTCTTCTCTTGCTGGTTGCGAACGAGACACAGACCTGAGCTTTTTCCACGACAGAGAGGAGAGACAGTAGCCGAGCAAGAGCAATCAAGGGGGGACACGCGACCAGCCACCCATGCAACTGGCATACCCCGGAATAGTAGCACATCACAGAGCGTATGAAGATTAGGCGGTGTAGTGCGGGTTCGTTCGTGTCCAGACAGGATTATTGATCTCCTTGTTTCTTTGTTTTTTCCTCAAGAAAAACCTCAGATTAAACACGTTTGGAATGCTGAGAGAGAACTCCACACCTCACGTGAGGGTTGGAGAGCAACCACCAGATGTAGGTCTGGCCTTCTTTGGCCGCCAGAGTCCACATAGCACTCTCTATTACAAAGACATTTCAGCTTTCACATATTTTCACCGACAACTATTGCGTACAACGCGTGGATTCGTGTAGGTATTGGTCTACACGTCTACCTTGAGGAAAGCTACCTGAAAGCCGGTTGTTGCTGGCCCACAGCCCCCTCAGCTCCTTGAGAGTTCCCAGCGCCTCCGGGACGGATCCTGCAGAATCATCACGATGATCACTTTCAACATGAAAGAAACTACAGTATTGTTATTTGCATGCTACGAGTAGATGAGCCACACCGTCTAGAAGCCAGTGAGAACCAACATTATCTTGAAGATATCACCTGAAAGCTGGTTGTTACTGAGCCACAATTCCCTCAGCTTGCTTAGATTTCCCAGCACCTCAGGGATGGGTCCTGCAACGGAAAATTGAAATATAGTACAACGACGTAAATGCAACAATGAGCCTACATAATTAGAGCAAATGCACCATTCTATAAGTCATGTGACGGTGCGTAGGAAGGACACATATTCATCCATAGACCACGCCTTTTACCTTGAAGCTGGTTGTAGGCGAGAAGAAGCTGCTCGAGCATAGTGAGGGCTTCCAGCTCCTTGGGGATTAAACCTGTGAGCAAGACAGCAATTTAAGTTTGTTTGCAGTCACATCATCATCATGTATGATGTGTTGGATAATGTGTTCTCTAGGCGGCGTTGATACATAGATAGTCAGGTGGGAGTGAAATACGTTTCTCAAACAATTCGTAGGGTCCACGACGACTCCATTAACCCCACAGTATACACGGGGAAACGCGGCACCGGTGCAAAAGAGCCTGAGAGAAGATCTTGGGCCTGGCGCGTCTAGATCTTGCCGTGATGTGCAACAAAGGGGCATTGGCGGGACGTATCTGGTACAAGGCTAAACGTACAATGGCTTCGGAACACGCATGTCATGTGCTAAAATCGATTTGCCTCCGCGATACATGTACCTAAAAACTGTGGATGGATCCACACACAATTTCCAGCCCCAAAAGAGTGCACGGCTAACTTCCACCACACAGCAAGTGCAGTGTAATTATTTCCAGCAACGTTTTCATAGAATGCAGGCTAGCGGGTGCTTGGCGATCGTGAAGCACCAAAGTATGATAAACGGTGCATACGGGTGGTGCACAATAAACGATACAGAAGGTCGATCCCGCACACCTAGGTACGCCCCCCCACGCCCCCCGCGCGGAGGCCCGAAAAATATTCTTGAATTTTTGCTTTTCAGGTTTAGAAACCAGTTCAAGCGAGCCGCACAAGAAGCGCACAAGAAGAAAGTACCATTCAACTACGCTAGGTTAGATAGACCTTCCCTTGCGCTTTTATTTGTTTTTCGATAGTTCATGTTGTTTTTACCAAGCACAATCCGCAGAAAGCATCGTTCACAATGCGTGCTGTGCTGCGGCGAATCTCATACAACAAGCAAGGTATATGTATGTATTCAGGAGTAGACCCCGTGCGAAACGCTCGAAAGGGCAGCCAACGTGCGTTTGCTTGCAATTTTTTTTATGAAAGAGCGGCGATAGGTGAAATGATGCCTACGACTGGGGGGGGGAGTAAGCACATCATCGCAAGAGAGCAACAAGTCTTCCCGGACTACACCTTAGCATACCTCGGAGGTTGTTGGAGTACAGATTGAGACACGCCACACGGCCCTGGTCGTTGAGTTCCACGCCGTACCATTGCGAGAGGTCTGTATCCGTGATCCAGTTTCTGTTTTGCTTCCAGTTTGCCCCATCGGTCGCATGATATAGGGCAACCAATGCGTCATAATCCGTCGCAGCCATTGTAGATAAAAAGGATAGCGGCGGAATATTGTGGGAACACATGAGGACTACAGCAAACTGTAGTACCCGTTCGAGTTAATTCCTCAATACCCCCCCCTCCGAAGGGACATACATGTGAAATACTTCGAAGTATTTACAACTACTGAGAGATCTGATATGTATGCCGGCCAAGACAAAAACAGATATAGTGCCTCCGCTAACGCCATGCATTTATTGTGAATCCTGAAACCTTATCCACGGATTTAGAGGGATTCATTTTGTTGAAGTACTTCGAAGTGCTATGCAAAGGAAAAATAAAATACACCTACAAGTGAACGGTGGTCCATCAATACACGTGACGTGTAGCGCCCGCACGTAACTTGGTATTTGGTGCTTGTAGTGAAGAACTTGAGCACCATTTTGTGAGCCCGGTTAGCCCCACATCAAAACCAACACACATATATATACTGTACAAGGCGTCCCTCCGGAGTGGGGTAAAGAGAGCACCGCGGCAAGGGGTGATGCAAGAACATGCAAGACATAGATTATAGAGTACGCACTGTTCGTTCCGCATTTATTTATTTGCCGTTTTTTCTGATGCTGCGTCTCCCGCCGCCGCCGCGGATTCCAGGCCGCCGAACGACTTGAAATTCATCAGAGCCGTATTGTTTCCCAGGAAACGCACACACACACACTCGCCTCAGGCGGGCAGAGAAGAAGCGTTGTATTCGCGCGTTTAGCATGCAAACAGCAGTATGTTGTAGGGCCGTGACCGTAGCATCATCATGGTGTGTGTCGCACATTCCGGAGAAAAGAAGTAGAGGCCACATGAATGTATTATGTGGATGTTACAGTTGCTTCAAAGAACATGTATGACTCTCCAAGTCGAACAGCCGCCGCCTGGAAACAGAAGGGAAAAGAACACCCGAACAGCCTCCACTGCTATTATAACGACCAGCCAACACAAATGTACAACTGTTCATACATACTGGTATACACCTCAAAGTATTGACCGGGTTTATAGCCCACAAGCACTACTACCACCGCTGTTAGGCTCCAACCTCGGCCATTACCTGCGGCCGCTATCTGCAGTGAGTGCCGGTTGAAAAGTGTCACAACCCGGAAAAATAAGGAAAGTGCCAATTCTGCACCTTCCCAACATAACATATATGGTATGAGACACACAAGACAGCTACCAAACTGTTTTGTTGAGCCTGTTACCCGCAGGGGAGATGTCCCTATATGCTGTCTGGGAAATTGTAGACATACAGGTACTTTCTGACGCTATGAATTCATTGCTAATCTGTCTCTGACTCTTTTATATGATAGAGATGGATTCGTTGTGTCATATTAAGAAAAATAAAATAGAATAAAAATCTGGTGGAACGGCCTCCTTCTTCTGTGGTGACGTGGCAGCAGAGCAACTTCAAGCGTGTATTCGTATTTGGCAATTGGGAGCAGTTCACAAGGTAGAAAAGACAAAGAGAAACACCACAGAGCGCAAGCCATCTCCCGTGGAAAGAGGCAGCAGCAGCACATCAACTACTACAGTAGCAGCACAGCACTACCACCATTAACAAACCCGCTGCTCGAATAATCCCTGTGGAACGAATGAGAACGAACACGTTGGGGTGGATATTCTATATATCCCTTTTCTTCCGAGAAACCGCGCGAGAAAATACACAATCAATCATGGTGGACCGGGTCACAACAACTGGAGAAGAGAACAAGATCGACCCTGTATTGAAGGGACCACGAGCAACGCAGGAAGCACACGAACGTTTATTTCGCCCGGTAGCAGATGGAGATACACAGCCCCAAGAGAGTAGTAGTCGCGGTAAATCGACTGCCTCTTGTCTCACCGATGATCGCCGACACTCCTGTTTTCCAATTTCCAGCGCCAGCTTCGGGTGTGGGGTACTCAACGTCGGATACAACTAGGTGTGGGCGAGGTATGCATACGTCGCGAGAGAGATCGAGGCTTTGGTGGAGGTGTTTCGGCATGCAGCACAGTGGGAGTAGGAGACGGTAGTTCCGAGAAACTTCAACAGCGTAGGTTGCATAAGATACCACCCCCCCTCTTGACCGATTTCAACGCTCGATCCTTTGCCGCAATAATAGTATACCTACCTGCTCTCGATTGGGGCATTGGGGCTGTCTCATCGAGAGCATCCCGATAATTATTATCTGCCTGCTGTGTCACCGTGTCTTCCTTTTCGTCCTGGAGTGATCGTGCTTTGGAAATCGGCCCAACGGAGTGTACTCTAGTGTAAATATTAGGAAATATATATATACACACAGAATGGACTGAAAGCATTTATCGAACATTAACATTATTAGCGCGTATCGACTCAGGGTTTGAACTTTCTTCGTGTTCTACACAAGTACTGACCCAGGGCTCGAGTCTACTGCTTGAATTTGTGCCAAACCAACTGAAGGCAAAGGTATTCGTGGGCATGGGGAGGGCATGGATGTGTAGGGATATGCATAATGGCAGTGTACCAAGTTTCCGGTAACCATTTTCCACACCCACTGTAGCCGTGAGAACCTTCCACAATAGTTCCTTGTGACAGCGGGAGAACTCTGGTCCTCGGGTCTCCGATCATTGCTCGTTCAGAACCATTTTGGCAGAACCTTTCTGCAGAACCTCCTTTGCCAGCGAACAAAGGCCTCCTCCGAGCTCTGCTTCGACGAATTCGTGTGCTGATTCAAACCACAGCAACAGCAGCCGCGTGGGACAGGGCCACACACACACACACCACACACAGCCACACAACTGCCCTCTCCATCCCTCTCTCGAGCCCCAACAAACCCTCAACAGAACCCTTCGAAGCAAGCAGCAAAAGACTTCTCACACATCCGTGAACAGCACAACAACAGCAGCAGCAACAGCACATAGGGAAACATGTCGTTCTTCACGAGCGGTTTCGCGACCATGGTGAACAACAGGCGCCTGAAGGCGGCGAAGAAGGCAGGCACGAAAAGTGAGTAGTCGGCCTGTGGTGCATGCATGTCATCGTGGAGGCTGTTGCCTCTAGCGTTTAGCTGTGCTGCTGCGGCCGGCTTCACCCACGCGTTGAACCAAAACAGGCCGCTGGTTCTCCCCAACAGCTCACGCTCACCTTCTTTGTGTCTTCTCCTCTTCCTCTCCCATCATGCCTGCACAGACGCAGACAAGAACGTGGAGAGCTCTGATAAGGAGGAAAAGAACGACTGTGGCAAGGAGGAAGAGAAAGACGAGGGAAAGTGGGACATGCTCACAGATGTTTACGGCCGGGCATACTGGTGAGAGGGATTCCAGAAGCACGGCAGTCTACCGTCCATGTCTACATGTAGACTTACAACGGAGGCTACACATGTTAGAAAACCGTTTTGGATATTAACTACATTGCTCGTGTGCAGGAGAGGAAGATCCACACATACCACAATTCATGTAGATACACCGTATAGAGAAATGGATCGTTGGACGCGTCTCACATGGATTGGATGGCTGCTTTGTTTTTCGCCACCGCCGTTGTACAGTGTACGTGTACAGTAGTACTCAACGTTGTAACACGTGTGCTTCCACTTGTTTGCCTTCCTTTTCAAGCCCGAGCTTGTTCTAATCCCCACTAGTGTACAGTATGCACACGTCACTTACTTCATCTCATCAGCGTGAGATGGCAACAATCAGATTCCATGTCCTAACGTCCCGAACTCGTACACGTTCTAGACTAATTGCAGTCTACATACAAATCATGTGTGCAGAGAGCGTACAGCAGCTTTGTCCAGACGTCTTGCCTCTTCTCACACTCGCTCGCATCCAGCAATCAACACCATTTTCCCTGAAACTCGCATTGCATATTCTCCGAAATCCAACAACAACCAACAGGCAGCACAGCGTGACGGGCGAGTGGGCCTACGTCTACGGTGGCGGCCTCAGCGCCCCTCCCGTTGTGGCGGTCGGCCCTACACCCATGGTCTCTCCCCACGGCGTGGTCTTCACGCCTCCGCCTGTCTACGCCGCCGCCCCCAACCCGCCCCTCCCCACCAAGAAGAAGGACGGCGACAAACAGGACGAGAAGAAGGAGAAGGGCAAGGGGTGGTGGGAGACGAAGTACGACGAGGACGGGGACCGGTACTGGGAGCACACGGTGACCAAGAAGACCACCTACAAGGACCCCTACTACTGAAACAGCTGGAACTGAATTGATTCGTAGGAGTAGAAAGCAGTAGCACAGGCCTAGTACCAGTAGTTGTGGTACAGAAGAAGTAATATACTACTGGCATAACGTATTTTTGACAAACTGTCGACAAATCAATGTGGAGATATGGTAGTCTAGACTTCGTAGGTTAGCGGTTGTTTCTGTTTTTGGTATACGGCAGCCGTGGCGGCATTCAATCAGCCCTGCTGCAGTGGGTCATCTGTGGTGGTTTGTTGCTGTATGCATGTAGGTGCCGTGTCTCCCGTCATGACGGTACAGCTGCGTTTGGGACTGAGACGGGAGAAGTCCATTGTGTTTCCTGCCATGCACAAGTTAGCACGGTGTCATAGTTTGGTTTGAGTTTATGTCGTTTTCGTTGAGAGTATAGAAACGTTGCCTTTCACACATGGACCAAATCTCCTCCTGTATATGTATTTCCCTTAATGTTTTCTTCTCTTGAGAATAATGTGGTGATAGTGGTGTATGCGATATCTATCTGTGGAGGGGCGGTGTCGCCAAATATTTGCAACGTTCATGTGCATGTGACTGGGGCTAGTTGTTTATGTAGTGTTTGCCTTACCTTGCCGCGGTGCACGTTGCAGCATTGGTTGGAGGGGAAGGGGAGAATGTGCGGGCTTGGTGAAGGCATTGCGGCCGGTCCTTAGCTTAGTCGAGCATGCACTTGGCGTACGAACCAGATCGACACACGAAAAGCCCGGTCGCTCAGCTAGTGTTTAGGCGTTGGGGTTAGAGGCGATGGGAGGCTTGGGGCTTGGATGGCCGGTGTCGCCAAATTGGTATCACAAACGGCCTTGGTTGGCCTGCCCCCTTGGCGTC